AGTATATTCCACAATAAATATTATTAAATGTATGAAATTTGTGTTATATTTCAATCCAAAAACGGACAGAACTTTCCGGTAGACCTAATATTATTCTTTAACTTGAATATTGACTTTTCTCAAGATATTGGATCTCTGAAAGCACAAATTTCATTAAAAAGCGTAATGTAATAAAGAAACTGTATCCTGTGCATATATTACTGCGGTAATGTATCTATTACTGCGAGTCAAATACTGCGGACGTTCTGATTACTGCGTGTCAAGGTTGACACACAAACCATTTTCTTTTAAATGTACACACGCCGGCAAGAAGTCACGAGTAACGATGGAAAGTATATTCCACAATAAATATTATTAAATGCATGAAAATTGTGTTATATTTCAATTCAAGAACGGACAGAACTTTCCGGTAGACCTAATAGTTCGCCACCTGCGGTGGAAATGAATTTCAGGCGTGACAGCAGGCAAGTAAACGCGTACCTGAATATTGTAAATATATCGACGCTCTCGCTAAGGGGCTCCTTATGGAATTCTATGAACGCCCTCGGATTCGTTGGCTCGCTTGGCACGCTTTCCGGCGATCGCAGTGTCTTCCGCGTGTGATGCGCTGTCTCCCAGTACGTGAACGCTTTCACTGTCACCTCCAGAATAGAATAAGGCAGAATTTGCTCGGAATTGTTGTACGGCATCGATGTCTCCGTCGTTATCTCCGGATTCGAGTTCGTGTTGATGTAGTCCGCGAACTTCACTTCGTAAAACACGGTCCCGTAATTAATGTTGTCCACGGGGTCCCACGATATATTGAAGTTCCTCCAGGTACCCTCTACTCTAATACTGTTGCAGTTGACCGCCTTTGGTAAAACAACGACCGTGTCCGACGCAAGATCGTTCGGGTAACGATGAAGCGCCGGATCCATGACCGCCACCATATGGAGACCCGACAGGGTGATGCCGTTTATCACGGCGGTATTCTGGCCGGATAAGTCGCCTATCACCGCGTTACGATCGTCCTGAAGCCACAGTAGATGCTCCGAGAAATAGCAAAGTGGTCCTTGCATGTTCGGGTGTTGCAGAGCCGAGACCTAACAACATTCGAGATTTATATCGAAAAAGTCGAGACTACTACATTTAAATGTAATTTGCAATTGTTCGGTTGTGACGTTGATTTATAAAAGAAAAGAAAAGAAAGGAAGAAGTTCGAACGTCGATAGTAACCTTCTCGGGCACTATTTTATGGCTCATAGGAATCCTCTCCGATGTTGGCGCACGGTATACGATCGATCCGCTCTCGTAACTTCGAACGATCCAATAAACGTATCTGTTCTCGGTATCCAGCGTTAAACCCATTACTTGTTTACCATTGAATATCTCGTCCGAATGGTAGTATCGTCGGTCTTGGCCGTTCAGACGGGCAACTTCTACGGCGTGGCCCGTAGACCAGTACAAGTACGCCTCCAACGAGTCGATCATTAGCTCCTTAACGATAGCCAGAATCGACATTGGCTCTTGGTGCGATCCGTTTAAATTTGCCCTCGTTATCTAGAGAAGTAACAAAAAGAACAAACTGTAATTCGATCCGAACAAACGCCACGATCTATTGGGTTGGCAAAGAAATATAATTGCAGATTCATTAATTTAACCTCTAGGTAGACTATTTTGATATTCTACTAATGAAATTTTTGAAATATAAATGCATGAAATCCGCAGTTTATTCATGAGTATCTCGAGAAAGGAAAGCAGTTGTACTTTCGTATAGACTCTTACTCAGGAGGGACAGGCTCTTTCGTAAGCAGACCCGAGCACCTTTAAAATGACATTATTTAGAATACGAAATTTTCAACATTATAACAATGTTATTTGAAATTTTATTCCAAAACCATTTGACAATGTTATTTGACAAAACTTGTCAATGCTTATCTAACATATTATTGAAATGTTATTTGAAATTTTATTCCAAAACCATTTGGCAATGTTATTTGACAAAACTTGTCAATGCTTATCTAACATATTATTGAAATAACATTTCAATAATATTTGAAATAATATTTTAATAATATTTCAGATAATACTTCAATTAACATGTCAATAACAGCGAAAACACTAGAAGACTTGACTAATACTGGTTCTTTACCCTCAACCTATTAAAATCATTAAGAGAAGAAATATAGTTTTATTGGATCTCTGTATCTTTTAATTGATGCACATAATTTTGATTTTGCACAAGACTCTGCAAACCAGTCATTACAAATCAAATTCAAATGAAAATCATTGATTTATCCTCAAGTACCAAACGAATATTCAGTGTTGCATTGGGTTGGCAACAAAGTAATTGCCGATTTCAGTTATAGACGTCTCTCACTCCCATTTTTATGGTATCCGTAAATGTTATATTATAAAATTATTATTATATGCATCGTAAAAAGCAGTTGTTGAAATTTCATTCCCAACAACTCGTGTCAAGTGATCATTAATGTGAGAAGTTTCACAAATTGGAAACCTCATCTCGGCAGTTGAGGATTCAGAAACTGTAGTTAAAGCAATTTTGAAATATTGATGACATTATACGTACAAGAAGAAAGTTCCGTTAAAGTTTCATTCAGCTATCGTACTTGGCAATCGCATTTTCTAGCCTGAACAGCGACGCTTATTATTGGGTTGGCAACTAAGTAATCGCCGATTTCAGTTATAGACGTCTCTCACTCCCATTTTTATGGTATCCGTAAATGTTATATTATAAAATTATTATTAT